AAAAAAAAAAAAATTAAAAGGAAAGAAATTCCATTTGGGAAAGAATAATACTCCACAAAAAGTTTCCATTACAATTATGAATTTCCTTAACAAATATAATGTCTGTTTCTTTCTCTCTTTCTTTTTTTTTTTTGAGACAGAGACTTACTCTGTTGCCCAGGGTAAAGGGTTACGTCCTTAGCCTACCTCACAGCAACCTCAAACTCCTGAGTTCAAGCCATCCTCCTGCCTCAGCCTTCCAGGTACTGGGACTGTAGTTGCCCACCAAATGCTTCACTAATATTTTCCATTTTTAGTACAGACAGTCTTGCTTTTGCTCAGGCTGGTCTTGAACTCCTGAGCTCAAGGGATCCTCCCACCTTAGCCTCCCAGAATGCTAGGGTTTACAGGCATGAGCCACTATGCTAGGCCTATGTCTATTTATAATGCCATAACGGTCTATAGCAGTGGTTCTCAACCTTCCTAATGCTGCAGCCCTTTAATACAGTTCTTGTGGGTCACAACCCACAGGTTGAGAACAGCTGGTCTAGAGGATTCTTCCTAGACATTCTAAACACGTCATCATTTGACTCAAATTCAAAACGTCTACTGAAAAATGTTACTGTGGCATGTCTGTTGGTAAATTATATTAACTTTTTATTTCAGATTGACAGCAGTAACATAATTAAATCATTAGATCTAAAATACTTCAACTTTGCTTACATTAATATAAACATGACCTAAATTAGAACAAGAAAATGTAAAAATGAGTTATAACTAAAACATTTAATCAAGAATGAAATGGAAGTAAACGATTTGTTCTTTAAAACAAATTTCAAAAATAACAAAACCACCAAGTAGAAAAACAATTGTGTTACTTTTATATTCACTTTCATATATAAAAACTTCCAGTAATTTATACTTAATTATCTAATGACAGTATTTCTCACTCTCTCTCGGTCTGAATTACTTTACAACACTTATTCAAAACTAAACAATAATAAACTTGGACATAAAAATGTTAGAAATAGATTGATTTATATGAGTATTGCCAATTATATAGTGCTTTTTTTTTTTTTTTTTGCAGTTTTGGATGGGGCCGGGCTTGAACCCGCCATGCCCGGTATATGGGGCTGGTGCCCTCACTCCTTGAGCCACAGGCACTATACCCCGTATAGTCTTAACTTTTAAGAAGATCTAAACATTAAGCAATCATTACTTGAAAAATATCTATATAAACAACATTCCATGACAGGTTTTTCATAGACTAACAGTTAAGATGGGTTTTCTTAGATTAGCAACACACGTTAAAAATCATAGCAGGATCCCCAAAGATAAGTTCATGTACTTTTACTTACTTCAGCTGAAATTTAAGTTAGATTGGGAAAAATAGAATACCACTGAATATAAAATTAAGGGTATGTTAAATATTCACTTGAATTTAATATTTCTTCCCATTTCTCTGTCAATTATTGAGCGCTAAGCAAAATCTGCTTGCCAAAAATACTGTTAATAATAATAGAGCTTTTTTTTCCCCTGAAAATCCAGTTTATTCTCCATGTTGTGGACAGATCCAGTCAGTGTGATCAGTTTTTCTGCATGTGTTAATAATTTATCAAAATAAGTTTTCCCACAAGACTCCATGTTGTGGACAGATCCAGTCAGTGTGATCAATTTTTCTGCATGTGTTAATAATTTATCAAAATAAGTTTTCCCACAAGACTCTTTCCATCAAAATCCTGGTTTGACAACATATCCAAATAAAGCTCTTGAAAATCACCTCTTAAAATTTGAAAGAAAATGTGGCAAGTCTTTCCTGTAACACTTACTGTACTTCAAATGGCTAAAGAGCAATCTATATTTTAAAAGGTGAAGAATAGAGCTTTGAAATGAAATTTATTTTAATATATAGCTTTGAAAAGAAAACCCTTTCTTATTTATTTTACTTTTGAGACAGAGTCTTGTTCTGTTGCCTGGGCTAGAATACAGTGGCACAATCATAGCATACCGCAACCTCAAACTCCTGGTCTCAAATGATCCTCCTGCCTCAGCTTCCCAAGTAGCTAGGACTACGGGCGTCTGCCACCACACCCAGCTAATTTTTTTATTTTTCATAGAGCCAAAGTCTTGTTTTTTGCTCAAGCTGGTCTCCAACTCCTGAGCTCAGGGGATTCTCTCTCCTTGGCTTCCCAGAATGTTAGGATTATAGTTGTGAGCGAAGAAAATACTCTTTTAACCTACTTGATTCATTTATTGGAATTTCCTAGGAATCATCAGATTTAATATCCATAGACACACAGACAATATCATAGTTAGTAACTTCCTAATTTATTAATTTCTATATATAGTCAAATCAATTCCTACATTATAAAGAAACCAAAGCCATGCTACTTTTAAAAACATGTCAGTGCTATACTAGGGGTGTAACTCCTTATAAAGCAAGCACAAATGTGGCATTAAACTTACTTTTCCAAAGAAGCCTTTGAAGAACTTTCTTTCCTGGAGGAACAGGGGGACAAGTCGAGTGCTATTATTGTATGGGATAAATGTCCCAGGGCTTCATATCAATAAGCAAATACAGAAGTTGGGGAAAGGGAAAAGTGGAAGAAAGGCAAGGGCTAAGAGTTGTAAAGAGTTATCCATACCAGGAGTGACAAGGACTAAGGAAGGGTGCATGAAAATGCAGGGAAACACACTGTATGGCCTATGAATCCATGGAAAGAGAAGAAATCAGAACTTCTATTCATGCAAAGCAACTAGTTAGTTTAGTAACTACCACATATTTTTGAAATAGATTTTCCAAATTTGGCAGCAGAGAGAAAGATTAGGACACACTGCTTTAGTGAGATTTGCATTTTAAATATCATAGTGAGTAGAAAACAGAAGATTAGTTTCATATACATTTAAAATCAGTGGTCAATTATGTAAAAGTCATCAATTAAAAAACCAGTCCACATTCAAATGACCATATAATTGCATAAAAATGCAATATGTAAAATGAAATGTGTATCCATCAAAGGTCCCTGTCATACTTTTCTTGCTGAGTTTAAAATGTCACCTAGAGAATCCTTCATACTTCCTAAGGGGAGCTTGACCATGTGCTCCACTTAGCCATTAGTATCAATCTGTATTTATGGGCATGCTGATCAATTTCAAAACGCACATGAGGAAATAACAGCTATGTTCTATTATAGATACAGAATAAATTATCTATAAAGAAGGCTAATGTTTAAATTGGATCTGGAAAAACAAATCATCTTTTTTTTTTTTTTTGAGACAGGAGCCTCAAGCTGTCCCCCTGGGTAGAGTGCTGTGGCATCTCAGCTCACAGCAACCTCTAACTCCTGGGCTCAAGCGAGTCTTCTGCCTCTGCCTCCCAAGTAGCTGGGACCACAGGCGCCTGCCATAGCGCCCGGCTATTTTTTGGTTGCAGCCGTCATTGTTGTTTGGCGGGCCCAGGCTGGATTCGAACCTGCCACCTTGGGTGTACATGGCTGGCGCCTTAGCCACTTGAGCCACAGGCGCCAAGCCGAAAAACAAATAATCTTAAGAATCAAATAACACCATTGGGCCACAACTCAAATTTAAGGAATAGGGTTTTCTTTTAAACTGTTGTTTCAAAATATACTTGCATTGATATTTATTAAGTATACAATTCTGAAACTATCTGGATAAGAGAGGCTTAGATACATATAGGATCAAGCATCAATTTTTAAGTACCATTTATGAAAACTGGCTACCTGTTTAAAGTCTAAAGAATGTAAGCAAATCTAACTTACCCACAAGCTAGTTTAACTTCACATTTCTTAGGTATGGTTGAAATATAGTTTAAGACTTTACCCTTTTACAATCATCTGTTTTTAATGTTAATGTTGGATAAATGTCTGGGAAATGACAATGATATTAAAATTTGACTCTCTTAAACTCATTCAATGTTCTCAAACACCAGAAAGTTTGTTTTCCATCTAAGTTTTGAAAATCACAAGCAGCATCTAATATTTCCATAAAATATTCTGAACTGAAGCTGGACAAAAAAATAATAGTTGTAGTAGTCATTACAATAACATTAAGAACATTTCTGCTGCCAAATTTGGTGACCCTAGTTTTGTTAGATTCTGAGTAACCACCAGCTTTCAAGGATACAGCCAAAGCTAGGAGATTCACTATTCTTAAGGGATGGGAAGGTGAGGGAAGGAGATCTATTAATCTTTAATTTAGCTCCTAGAAAAGCTCTTGTTAAGGTTTTCCTCTTTTTACAAAAGACCCCAGATGTTAATGAAAAAAGTTGACGTGCAAAATGCATGAAAAGACATTCGTTATTATAGAATAGTATTAATGTTCTTAAAAAAAATTGTTATGATTCTTTAACCTGCTAAAATAAGAACATATATTAAAACAAAATATATCAAATAGTGAATAAAAACCAACATATTAGAAACTGGTAGTATAATGAAACTAGTCTACCAAGACAGAGAAAGAGACATTTAAGAGACGATGGGAAGAAATGACTTTTTATTATGAGATGAAGGGTATGTTGGACCAGAGTCAAACAAGGCCTGATACACATTTACAAAATTGATTAATAAAGGACAATACTCTCTCACTCTGCAACTGACTATGACATAAAGACAATAAAAATGTGTAATAGGCCATTTCAGTTAATTATCCTATACAATTTAAATTCTAAAGTAGCTAATTAGGGAAATTACATCACAAAGTAAATGAGTTGAAAATAGTTGCAACTAACTCTATGTAAAGAAAGAAAAAAGAAAATAATTGTTATACCATGAGGAACATATTTTTAAAACACTGTCTTTTTTAGTTATGATTTTTTTCATTATAGAATATCAAGTATGCAGATGATTTCCAATTGAAGTTAATGTAATTCTAAATTGTAAGAGACTACTGGTACTTTGGGGAAAAACATGCATACAAATGTACTTCCAAATTATCTTCTTCCTCAATTCCTCATAAATTTCAAAAGCACTAGAAATGTTAAATTTTAAGCTCAAGGATCATTCATATAATAGATTTAAAATCTTTGTTTCACTACTTAACTGGTACATCTAAGCTATTTAATTTAAAATTTTTAAACTCTAGGATTCAAACTAATTCTAAAGACACTCTTTTTTAAGAGTGTCTAATTCTTTTTTAATCCTCTGTAGAAGAGGAAGCTTTTATAAGTATTTGGCATAGCAGGTTGGAGATCCCCACTGAAAGTTTGTTAGATCTTTGCTCAGAGGAAAAAAGGCAACTAAAAATTTCTGCTGCATAGTAAAAATGTGAAAGGAAGCCAAAAATCAAAAATATATGTGGACTAGTCTGACATCAGAACAACAATATCCTGAAGATGTCCAGCTTTCTACAAGATTCCCAGTGTAATAGCACTAGAAGAGGTATTTATAGATGAGAGAAGTCACATTAAGTATAATAAACAAGAAATTTATCTCAGTTACCAAAAATTCCATCTCATTTTTTAATAATACCTATTTGCCAATGCAAAACTATATATAATGATTGCTCCAAGTCGCCTAGATAGGGTTTGTCTGAAAAATTTAAAGTAACTTCTTTTTTTTTTTTTTTTTTTTGAGACAGAGCCTCAAGCTGTCCCCCTGGGTAGAGTGCCATGGCATTACAGCTCACAGCAACCTCCAACTTCTGGGCTCAAGCGAGTCTCCTGCCTCCGCCTCCCAAGTAGCTGGGACCACAGGCGCCTGCCACAACGCCCGGCTATTTTTTGGTTGCAGCCGTCATTGTTGTTTGGCAGGTCCGGGCTGGGGATTTGAACCCGCCACCTTAGGTGTATGTGGCTGGCGCCTTAGCCAGTTGAGCTATAGGCACCGAGCCAAAGTAACTTCTTAATGAAAAGTACAGGAGTGATTGATTTTCCCTCAAAGTTCAAAAGTTCAAGTATGTCCAGAAAAGCAATCATCAACATATAACACTTTCCTTTAGTCATAAAAGACCATAGGGAAATAAAGATCTTTAGAAATATGCAAAAGGGTTTTATAAACTCAAAACATTAAACATTAAGATATAATTATGATGATTCCTGAGAGGTAGCACCTTATTCTCCCAGGAAAGGGTTTGACTCCAAGGACACAGGCCCCATGAAACAAGAAGCTGGAGGAGGTTCTTATTTCATATTGAATTTAATGAATCTTTCCTAGGAGGTTGGGGATAGGGAGGGTGTGGGGCCATTTGCATTTGTTAATTTTTTACATTACCTATTTATGAATATATAAACCTTTATATGAGATTTATCATTTATTTATTTATTTTTGGAGACAGAGTCTCACCATGTTGCCCTTGGTAGAATGCCATGGCGTCACAGCTCACAGGAACCTCAAACTCCTGGACGCAAGTGATTCTCTTGCCTCAGCCTCCCAAATAGCTAGGACTACAGGCACCCACCACATTGCTTGGCTATTCTTTGTTGCAGTTGTCATTGTACGTTATCTGGCCCGGGGCCAGGTTCAGGGCCAAGTTCGAACCCACCAACTTTGGTGTATGTGGCTGGTGCCAAGCCCAGATCTATTTTTTAAAACATGGAAAAGTTGCCTTTATGAAAACATAAACACATAATAATTAGATTATAATATTTGATTTGACCACATATTGAAGATTACATACTGTCTATTCATTCCAGAAACAGTTATTGAGTGATTATGTGCTGGACACTGTTCCAGGCATAATTCTTCTTTTTTTTTTCTTTTTTTTGCAGTTTTTGGCCAGGGCTGGGTTTGAACCCACCATCTCTGGCATATGGGGCAGGTGCCCTATTCCTTTGAGGCACAGGCACCGCCCCAAAAGTATAATTTTTAAAATGGCATTTAGTTCCTATTTCCAGTGAATATAAAAACTCCTAAATAGTCCTATATCTCAAATAATCATGATTATACTCTATATTTTCTTGGTTTAAAAAAATAAAAAGGTAAAATAAAAGGAAACAAGATCTACTCAACTAAAAAAACTAGTTTTAAAACTAGACAGTTAAATAGGGTCTATTTCTGGATTGTGTGAGATCATTTTATTTATGCACTTTTTTGGTTTATTTGTATTTTATACAATAAACATATATTGTTTATATAATAGAATCTCTGTAAGTTGACTACCCAAGGGACTGTACCAAACTGGTTACCCTTTGGAGGTGGTCCACATAAGGAACTAGGCCTACTGTACTGATACATACATGTGTAAGTCCAGTCTATGACAATTAGGTCAACTTAAGGAGTGGTCAATATGAAGGTCCTACTGTAAAGGAAGTGGTCAATATGGAGGTCCTACTGTATAATAAAGAGATGTTCTGATTAAATGTTTAAAAAAACCAAAAACCAGATAGTTAAGAGGATTGACTGCTTCTTAACAGGATTAAACAATTAAATACCATTTTTAATATCTTCTAGGCAAACTTAAACCATTCCTAGCTTTTCTTTAAGGAGTAAACATGAGCCATTCTCTGAATTAAAAGACTTTGTAAAGGCTCATTCCATAGTGGCCTTTTAGTCATATATTATATAAGATTTTAATAATAATTTATGGTTTGTTTCAGGCCTATTTAGTCTGTTCACTGATTTGTTGTTTTTAGAAAGTTATTAATAATATAGTGTTATATATTCCTTAAGTAGGGCAAACAAGTGCATTACTTTAAAACTATGTTCTTAGCTAAATTCACCTTATTATTCTTTTAGATGAACTTAAAATTATTTCAGTAAAGAAGCTGAATTTAAATTTCTTTTTTAAACTGGCTTTGACAAAAATGGAAAATCAAATTAAGAGACTGTGTTTAATTGGGGAATATATTCAAGTGGACATGGCAAGACTACAAACTATAGTTTCATGTACCATACTACATGGTTATAAATCCCCTTAATATAAATGATGAATTAGAGAGCGTAAGTTAAGACTAGGAAAGCTTTCAATCATTTAAGAATTTAAATGATTAAAATCTGAGCTAAAGGGTATATGTATATACATATATGTATATATATGCCTTTTTGTTTTGTTTTCTAGTTCTTTGTATACCACAGTCAGTTATTTCTCTCCTCCTTTCCGGTCTATAATAGATTCAGGCATTTATTCCAAAATAAAATCCCCCCTCTTGAAGTTGCCTGCTTCATTAATTTTTATGTATTTCATATTGAAGAATTACAAGTTAAGAGGTAATACATTACAAGAAGCAGAAAATTTTTGATTACTAAGCAAATTGAAGGAAAAAGCACACATTAGTAGTCAAACTTGGGGCAGCCCATCATACCAGCAAACCCTTAGCAACAAGGCTCCTTGGGGCAGGGGCATGCAGAAGTAATGCTTAAAGCTTTCATAGCAAAGTGGGGAAAGGCCACGTTCGAGAGAAGGAAGGTTGTAAAGAGGGCTGTCAGATTTATGAAACATTCCTCTAACTTATCAAAAATCTGAAATTTAGCCCTTTAATCTAAATCTTTATGAATTCTGAACCTATTCTCTCCTTTTATTAAATATACAGGCATAGCTTGGGATGTGTTCTATGGCATAATGAACAAAGGAAATATTATATATCCTGGCTCCATTCCAGTGTGCTGAAGTTTATGTAAAAGGCAGCAGAGATAGATTATGTTCGAAAAATATTAGGGAGTAGGAGTTAAGATAGTAAGTCATCTCCAAGAAAGTAAATCTCACCAGGCATCAACATAGATATCTCTGTCTCATACTTTTTTCCAGAAAGCTATTTCTTAGGGATTTAAAACTCATAATTTATAACCCAGTTATCACAATTAGGTTAAACCATTAACTATAATGGTTTCATCTTGGATTTAGTATTATTCTTCTATCAAATTTCACATCACTTGTTTAACATGGGTTCTGAATCAAAAATACCTTTTAAATGATGTCTGGCCTATATCAAAGAAGACTGGTCTTTATAATTTATACCTTTGGATGGACAGCATGAGGTGCTTTTATTAGTAATCCCACACCTTTTGCTTTAAGAGAAACATTGTTCTTATTGGATACTGGGTCACTGAAATTTACCGAGCAAAATCTTTTAAGAAAATATTGACAGTATATAGATCAACACTGGCAACCATCAAATACATACAGCTTTCAATCTTTTTACAGCATCTTCACAGATGTGCATTCCTCTTGATTCATCAACTTCTACATGACCAAGGTACTGTAGAAAGAAGAAAAAAGTTAGGGTACTATGTTTCCTAAGTAGCAACTATACTGTGTTAAGCATCAGGCAGGAGAGAATCAAATACAGGTTCAGCGTCCATAATCTGAAAAAATTCAAAATCTGAAACACTTCTGGCCCCAAGAATTTCAGATAAGATATTCAACCTGTACACTGAAATCTCTACACTCAAGAGACTCACAGCCTCCAAAGAAGAATAAAATAAAGTTACTTTACTCATCTCACAGTTACTATGCATTTATATGTAAACCTCTCCGCTACATACCTCTCCTAAGGCAAAGCATACACACACACTCACACATATATCATGAAAAAGCCACAAACAAAAATGACAGTTTTCTAAAGGCTGGAGAGTGAGGCAGATAACTAAAACAAATTTTAAGAAGGTAGTACATCTGAGCTTTAAAAGACGTGTAGAATTTGAATAGGCAGAAATTGAGAGGCTGAAAATTTACTTTAGAATGAGAAAATGACAAACAAATGAATGTGCAACAGGGTAATTATATATCAGAGGGAGGAGGCGGTCAGAAAGTAGTACCTGGTGTGCTTTAGCATACTGAGTGCTTTGAACTGAAAAAGAATCAAGGTTTCTCTGACCTTTTCTTGCCCTCCTGACTTCATCACTTTCTCCCCTGCAGTGTAGGAAAAGTCTTTCTCTGAAGTTCCCTTATCTACCAAAAGACAAATCCTCCAAAAGAAACTCAATTATCACGTATTTCCTCCCTGGGAATCCCATCAATTTGGGAAGATTAACTGTTGCACAACAAAAAAAGACTATAGGTCAGACACCACAAACTTCGTCACAGACTATTACCTGTGCTTTTGAAGGCTGCTCCAGACAACTTTTATTACCAGGGGCACTTTATCTGCATAACGAGACAATCTTTGTTCAACATGCCATTTCCTCTCCACATCAACATCTTCCCCCTGGAAGCCCCAGAATCCTATTCATTTCTGTAGTCCAGGATACTACAAAAACTTCAATCATCTGGCCTTTTTCAGTCTTAAATTTTGTGAAATTCACTTGCATATGTATAATAAATGAACAGGGAAAAGGGCATACAAATTTATCTACTGTCAGTTTGTTTCACAGACTCAAATGTTCAGAGGGTACAGAGAAAGTTCTCCTCAACATCAAGCACTCCTATTAGTTTTAAAAGTGAGAAATATGCAGCCAGACAATGGGAGTGCTGAAATAGAGCCTGCACTTCACCCTAGAGATAATGAAAGCTAATAAAGATTTTTCATTTTTATTTATTTATATGCATTTATATGTAATCCTCTCCTAAAAACTTTCCATTTTTATTTTTATTTATTTGAGACAGATTCTCACTGTGTAAAATAGAGCCAGCACTTAACCCTAGAGACAATAAAAGCTAACAAAGATTTTTCATTTTTATTTTAATTAATTTATTTATTTGAGGACCAGGTGCCAATGGCTCAAGCCATTTGAAGCCTGTGGTCACAGGATCACAGCTAAAAGGAAAAAAAAAAAGCAGAAAGGATAGTGGCAACATAACAATTATTTATTTATTTATTTATTCACTGTGTTGTCCTGGGTAGAGTGCAGTGCCATCATCACAGTGCACAGTAACCTCAAACTCCTGGGCTCAAGTGATCCTCTTGCTCAGTCTTCCTAGTAGCTGGGACTATAGGTGCCCACCACAATACCTGGCTAGAGTTTCTATTTTTAGTAGAGATGGGGTTTCAATCTTGGCTCAGGCTACTCTGGAACTCTTGAGCTCAAGCAGTTCATCTGGCTCCATCTCCAGAGAGCTAAGATTACAGGCTTGAGCCATTGGCACCTGGTCCTGTGAAAGCCAAACTAGCTCCATTTTGTTGTTTACAGCACAAGCCCTATTCCTGGCTGTTTATCACATAAGTTCCATTCCTAGCCCTCCTGCCCCAACCTCTGCCAGTGAAACCTGCAGGGCCACTCCCTGCTGCCTCTCCCCCACCCCAGGTTGCACAGCCACTGAGCCGTAAACTGAGTCACCTTAGGTAAACAGCTGCTATAATAAACAATAAGTTTCTATTACCTTGGAATACAGGTAATCAGGCTGCACCAACTCTAGCCCCCGGTTAAGGGACCCCCCCCCACACCTGTACCAATCCAAATTCACCTTTACTAGTGAAATCATCAGCTACCAATGCAAATCCTCCTTTACTTCCTCCTTTACTAATGAAATCACCAACCACCAATGAAAAGTGTACTCGTATCCGACCCTACCCCTCTTGCTTTCTGTACCCCATAAAAACTTCCTCCACCCTAGGTTCGGGGCTCGTCCTAGGCTTGCATGCCAGGAGAGTCCAGATCCAGGTCTGAATAAAACCTCACCTCATGCCTTTTACGTCGGAGTGTGTCTCAGATTCGTCTGTTGGGGCTGTTTGGGAGATTTTTTCAGGCATAACAGTCCTAATAAACATTTTTTTAAAAGGTAGTAATATAATTCAAGCTGTATCTTAGTATGGGAATAGTTCTGAATTAGAAAAGAAAATGATTTCACATGATCACAGCTAAAAGGAAAAAAAAAAACAAAAGCAGAAAGGATAGTGGCAACATAAATGCTCTCTCTTAAAAGGAAAATTTGGGGTATAATACTAGCACTCTGGGAGGTCAAGGTGGGGAAATCACTTGAGATCAGGAATTCCAGACCAGCATGAGCAAGAGCAAGACCCCATATCTCTAAGAAAAATGAGCTAGATACTGTTGTGGGTGCCTGTAATCCCACCTACCGGGAGGCTGAGGCAGGAAGATTGCTTGAACCTAGGAGTTTGAGATTGCTGTGAGCTAGGATGACACCACTGTACTTTAGTCCAGGCAACAGTGCAAGACCTTGACACAAAAATTTTTAAAAAATAAAGACAGTATTGGGAATATTGCCTTTCTGCTTCTCTAACTCAAGACTATTGCCTCCCCTCTTTGGTACTTCCAGCTTGAATGTAACACAGCCAAAATTCCAAAAGAGAATGCAGCAATACAAAGAGAAGTCTGGGGAAAAAAATCAATCTAGCTCTGGTTTGAAGAGTAGGAAAAGGAATCTTTAAGCTTAAGTAACAATAGTGAAATCCTGCAAGATCCACACCTCTAAGGGAGGAGAACTTGCCTATTTGTTTGGTGGAACCTTAATTCCAAGAAAATGGGGCTGACCCCTTTTGTTTTATTCCCCCTCTCTCTCTGAATCTCACACTATTTGACCCTAGATACAAGTGAAATTGTAGGAATTCCTGGTGGAAGAGAATAACCAGAGTTCCAGGTTTCTGGCTAGAGGACCACGAAAAGAAGCTCTGAGGAACCAGAAAATATTGAGGAAGGCACAGGAAGGAAGGAGCTTAGGAAAGACACCATGAATTGTTTATGAATTCCAGGACTCACTCAGGAGCCGCACGACTAAGGATCTGATCCTAATTAGCATACCAAAGACTTTGAGAACTAATGTACAGATCACTTCCTGGTTCCCAAACTGAGAACTGGATGATATACACATAGGACAGTTCAGAATAGCACTGCAGACCAGAATGCCATTGTAAAGTCTTTGAAAACTGAATGGATACTGCTATCACAGTCCACAGAAGATAAGCTGGAACTTGCAGCCTGAAACCTAATTGGTGGATTGCTAAAACAAAAATATAAACATTTTCCGTAGGATTTAAATAAGACCTGAAGTAGCACACCTAAGTATACAAATATCCAGGACACAACACAAAATTACTTGGCATATGATGAATCATGAAAATTTTAACTCATTTGGGAAAAAAATAATCCACATATACCAACAGCAAGGTTATACAGATGTTAGAACTATCTGATTAAGGCTTTAAAGCACCTACTATAAAAAATGTTCAAAGAAGCAACAATGAATAGTATTGAAACAAATGGGAAAATGGAAAGTCTCAGCAAGGAAATAGAAAATTTAAACAAAGAATCAAATAGAAATTTAAATACTGATAAATACAACTGAAATAAACACGCTGGTTAGACCCAATGCGAGAATGGAGATGACAAATCAAAGTCTCTGTGAACTTGAAGATCAGTTGAAATTATAGTGAGAAACTGGATGCCTTATTCCGCAGATCTGGAATAAGGTAAGACTGTCCCCTTTCACCACTCTTATACAATCTACCTGCTATTTTAAAGTCCAAAATAATTACATGTATTTTGGTTTTGTAGCTCTTAAATATGGTGCAAACAAGACATCAAAAGTACTCCAGGGGACTTGGTGCCTGTAGCTCAGTGGTTAGGGCTATGGCCACGTACACCGGGGCTGGTGGGTTGGAACCCAGCTCAGGCCTGCCAAACAACAATGATAACTACAACCAAAAAATAGTTGGGCAATGTGGCAGGTGCCTGTAGTCCCAGCTACTTGGGAGGCTGAGGCAAGAGAATCACATAAGCCCAAGAGTTTGAGGTTGCTGTGAGCTGTGATGCCACAGCACTCTACCAAGGGCAACATAGTGAGAGACTCTGTCTCAAAAAAGAAAAAAAAAGTACTCCAGGAGTGAGCACAGGATTACCTACCATGTACCAGGATCTGTGCTGGTTGCTTTATATATTTTGTTTTACTGAATACTCAGAAAGGTATGCAAGATCAACTAATTTTTTAAATTGAGAAAAAAAAATGAGCTTCAGAAATGCTGACTAACTTGTCCAAAGTCACGGACACAGATAGTAGGGAAGGAGTATTATTTCAGATTCTGAAGTCCAAGGGTCGTCCCACTTGACTTTACCATGATTCAAGAAAACTTTACCTAATTTCACATTTCTACAAGGAAATTAAGAAAAACCCAACAAGTTCCTTCCACCAAACTTCTTCCTTACAACTTTTAAAATAATTTCACTGGAAAATTCCTCTAGTAGGGCCAAAACTGTCAGTAATAACTCAGTCTTTCTGAAAACTCAGCAAAAACATCTCCAATAAATTTATAGTTATTCATACTTTTTTTTTGAGACAGAGTCTCACTATGTTGCCCTGAG